GGGGTATTCCCAGTGTAAGTCGCAGACGATCTAGTTCACGTCATTTAAATAGCATATCCATCCACTTACAAACATCCTGTATAAAACTGGCACGTGTATTTTCGGTACGTACACCAAAATTGGCCAGTGCAACAATTTGTGGCGCAGCATGCTGAACATCCGTCGCGTAGTGGCCCGCACACCCTCGGGCTGCCGTGGATTCCAGCGATCCGTGGGCATCGTGGGCATGCCCAACGTGGGCAAGTCCACACTATTCAACGCGCTTACCAAGACTGAGGTAGCCCAGGCCGCCAACTATCCTTTCTGCACCATCGACCCGAATGTTGCGCGCGTAGCTGTACCCGACGAGCGCGTGCGACACCTGGCGGAGGTAGAGAAGTCCAAGCGCGTGATCGAGACGCAGGTCGGGACTCGCGGGCTACTCAGCAGTTTGCAATGTATCGAGTGACTGAAAACGCTTTGAACTTGTCAATTGGCAGCTTGAATTCGTCGACATCGCCGGACTGGTGCGAGGTGCTTCGAATGGCGAAGGACTGGGTGCGTTGCAACTGCTATATACAGGCAACTACTGTAGTTCTAACAGACAATTTGACTGGGTGGCAGGCAACAAGTTCCTAGACAACATTCGGCAGGTGGCGGTGATCGCCCACGTCGTGCGCTGCTTCGAGGACACTAACATCCTCCATGTGGACGAGTCGGTGGACCCTATTCGTGACTTGGAGACGATCCGTACCGAGCTGATCCTTGCCGACTTGCAGACAGTGGAGAAGCGGTTGGCCAACCTGGCAAAGAAGAAAAAGTGCGTGCTTTCAGTTACTGAGGAGTGTGCTTTGCGAGCTCATATTTTTATTGGTTTACGCTTCTGATAGATCGACGGACCCCACAATCCCTTCCTTGATCGAGGTTCTGAAGCGTCTGCAGCCTCACTTGGAAGATGGGAATCTGGCCGAAGGAATGACCTTCGACAAGCCAGACGAACAACTTCAGTTCGAGCGTCTGCAGCTACTAACAGCTAAGAAGGCTCTGTACCTGTGCAATGTATCTGAGGATGATGCAGCTACGGGTAACGAGATGACAGAGGCAGTGCGTGAGTGTGTTGAGGCGGAGGGAAGCGTGTGTCTGACGGTATCGGGCTCTTTGGAGGAAGCTGCAGCATCTTTTGAGGAAGACGAAAGTCAGTTGGAGTACCTGAACGAGAGCGGATTGAACGAGACTGGCTTGACGAAGGTCATTCGTGCTAGTCAGGAGCTGCTGCAGCTGCAGACCTACTACACTGTTGGTGAGAAGGAGGCGCGTGCTTGGAATGTGCTGGCCGGATCGACTGCAGCTGAGGCGGCTGGTGTGATCCACTCGGACTTTGAGAAATTGCTCATTCGTGCAGAGACTGTCGGATACGAGGATTTTGTGAAGGCTGGCAGTATGCGTGCGGCCAAGGAGAAGGGTCAGTTGCGCTCGGAAGGCAAGGACTACATTTGCCAGGATGGCGACATCTTCAATTTCCTTGTGGGAAAATAACTCCACCGTAACGTAGCAATAGATCTCAGCAGTTCGGTGATTGCCTCGTGGATAACGTTTGTCTTGCCGTCACACGATCCGTGACCAGTGCAAGCATGGGGAATGAAAGTTGGGCCTGTTCTCAGCATTAAGGGATCGCTTATTTTGGCCGCGATGCTAACGGTTAGATGCGTTAAGAGTAAATTATAAACTCTCCCTGAAGGCATTGGAAAAACATATCACTCTTTTGCTTGATATGTATGCGAGCGCCGGGCTCCGACTCGGAGTCCGAGATAGACAACTTTGTCATCAGGGCAGCACGTTTTATGATCTGAATTCAATTGGGTTTGACAAGCCGAGCGCCGCCGCTACGCAGCGGTAATTTATGTTAGATCGCAATCGCTAAGGTATTTCCCGCCTCTGTTTACGGGCGTACGGTAGTTAACTACGGGATACAACTACGTTGCTTTCGGCTTAGAGCGAGGTGACCGTGATACTCTGCTGCAAAGTGTAGGTCTGGCCGGCCGGAAGAGGTTGCTTGACGCTGACACGACCGGGTTCGACGCATACCATGTTAATGTACTCCTCGTCGCCGAAGTCCTCCAGCTTCTTAGCGCGCTCGGCACCAGGGTTCCACACCACGGCGTCGGTTTTGGTCTTAATCGCTTTTTGCCCATTCTTACCGGTGATGAATCCCTTCTTCAGGACGGTAACGGAACGGTCCTTGGTGTTGACACCCTTAATGGTCGCGACAATCTTGTCCGGGGCGTCCAGGTACGTGTTGCCGGTCTGCGCCGTCGAGTTGGTAAAAGTGATGGATTGGCGGGTCTCTGTTGTGTTTACTTTGGCCACCTGGTCATAGTAATCGACACCCTTCAGGCCCGACACCGCCACACCGCCGTTACGCGAGTCGTCCACCCACAGGTAGTTGTGCAGCAGCGTGTGGAACTCGATCTGCTCGGTGTGTGTGTTCTGCACGCGCAGCGCCGTCTTTAGCTGGTTAGGATACAGCTGCACCACGTACTCGAGCTTGAACTCCACCGGCCAGATCTGGCGGGTCGAGTTGCTGGCCTCCATGGTGAACTTAGCCACGCTCGGGCTGTCCTTGTCAGTAGCCTCCTTGGTGCTAGCCAACGTCCAGTTGGTGATGCGAGCGAAGCCGTGGTTGGGGAAGCCGGGAGCGCCGCCGAAGTTGGGGAACACCACGGGGATGCCGCCGCGAATGGGGTTCACGCCATCCATGAACGAGTCCTTAGACATGAAGATCACATCAACGTTCGGGTCCATTGCCGCGCGGAACGACTTGACGTGGGCACCGAAAAGGAACACCTCGGCACTGGAGCCTTGCGGGTGCGAGAGCTTGACAGTCTCTAGCTCAGCATTCACGCCAGTAAGCGACGCTAGCAAAGTAGTCACGAAGACTGCAGTCTTGGACACGAACGAGGTAACCATTGTGGAGACGGCGGTCGGTCGGGGTCGCTTGCTTCCCAGGGGAGTAATCGCAGAATGAAAGCTTTAATCTAGGAGACAGCATCATGGCAATTTGCCATGACAAAGCGTGCTGTACCTTATCTCTTTCAATTTTTAAGTAAGCGTGAGTTGAACGCCCTCCATGGGCAGACCATGAAATACCATCAGGAAAAGCGTATGGGTAGGAGGAAATCTCGTACAATCGCCAGTGGACTATCTGTCGGTGGTCGTGTGTTTACATGCTCGCAATGTTGAACGAACAGCGCACTTAACCATGATGGTATCAGTATCCTTCGTGTTTGTAATTTATTGCTAGGATACCGTAGCGAATGAAATGCCTTCCTGTTTAACGTTACAGTTATGTAATTGTGGCGCAAGTTTAGTAGAAGTTCCAAGGAGAGGGTACCTTGGGCAGACTCTGCTGTCTCACTTCGTCATCCGAACGATCCGCTGCCGGTAGAAATTGTCATGCAGTGTGGCTGGACGTCCATTCTTCCTATGAAACAGCACTTGCTCCTTGTGCAGTCGGTCCATCTTGTCCAAGTACACGTTGGCAGCATGGCAGACGTTACGCAGCTCACTACTATCGAGCTGCTCCGCCACAACTTCTTCGCGTTTCAAGATCCTCCTGGCCCGCTTAAACTTGCCCAATTGCAGCGCATTGTACATCAGATTCACCCTACACTTGCTCTCCAGTATGGGGTCTTTCAGTCCCATTGAAATCCCAATCTGCAGCTTGGCCAGCAACGTCGATTGGCTCAAATGGCGGCACAAGAAGTGCCCACCGCCAAGGGTGGAGATGTACGCGTTTGCCGTCACCAGTGCTACGACGGCATTGACGAGCTTGACCGCACGTCTCGCCGACGCCATATACAATGGCAGCAGCTGTCTAGGGCGATACGTGACTAACACGAACACTCTCCAGCTGCCGGCAGTCTCCGCCACCGCATAGCGCGCAACGGCATCTTCCCATTGGGTAAACGACTTCAATGTGGATGCCTGAATGGTCTGCTTGGTACTGAATTTAGCTAACACAGCCAGCAGCTGCCGGGTCTCGTCCGGATACGATGCGGAGCCTTCGGGTGACAGCAGGAAGGCTACGAACTGGTAAACCTCTGGATCTGCGATCGCAACGCTGCCATAAGCCACTCGCGTTGCTTGGGTGGATGCAGATAACAAAGTGGATGCAGTCGTAGCTCGCTTCAGCGCTCGCAAGGCCCTGCGCTCGTGCAGCAGCGGCTCGAACGCCACGACACGCTGTCGCAGTCCTACCGCAATGCGCGCTGTCATGCTCTGATGTTTCTGGAATGACCGTTTATTTGCAGAAAAGTTCTTTTCGATTCAATGAGAGCGTTCATTGGTCAAAAAAGACGCAGAGTCCGTTTTTACACAAAATGAGTTTCATCCAATGGTCTGCATTGGTCTTGAAACGACGCGTCCTCAGATATCCGATTAGACCATGTCCCTCTTCCAGGTGCGCGAATGGTGGGCCGCCAAGGGCGAGCACGACGAGGAGTATACGCCCGGTGCGCTGGTGGTGGGCAACGTGGATAACGATTCCTCCGGACATGGTAAATATTGCCTAGTTCGTGTGTTATATACTGACTATTGACATCCTGGTTGCTGGAATTCCATTCCACAGTGAAAATCGTAACTGGCAGCTTGAACGGGGTGTTGCGCGTGTATTGCCCAACCCAGAGCGAATTCCGTATCGAACACCTACTGCTGGAGGAGAATATTCGACGTCCCATTTTGCAATTGGCTCTTGGTTACTTTATTCCGTGAGTTGTCGTCTCTAAATTGAACTTGGTGAAAAACTAATTGACAACTAACTTTTTCTACGACAGCAATCAGCGTATTTTAGCGCTCGCTATCCTACAGCCGAGACGGATCGGCGTTTATGTGGTGGAGGGCGTGGGCGGGACCGGCATGGCGGCCAATTACTTCAAGATTACGCTGCGATACGAACATTTACTGGGCATCGACGGGGAACACTTCACAGCTTATAACTTTATCTACGGACCTTTTGGTTCGCCTAGCTCTAGCTCTGGCGGGGGAGCTCCTCCACGATCGGAGCGTGATCATCTGTGTGTGCAGTCGCTAGATGGTCGGCTGCAGTTCTTCGAGCAAGACAGGTTTGCATTTCTACAGCCCCTCAACAACAACTTCCTCCCTGGAGCGATATGTTATGCAGTCGGTATGGACGCTGTGATAGCTGCCACGTCGGATTTACAACTTGAATGCTACCGTTATCAAGTTCTGGCGTCGGCGTCGCTCAAAAAGAAAAGAAACGCTTTAGACGAAGACAGTAAGGAAGACCGACAGAAAGATGCCGCTTCGGCGTCAGTGCACTGCGACTGGAAGATAAATATTGGAGAAGTCATTGTAGACATCCGCGTTGCTCGGATGTCATACCAGGAATCATCAACGAGTTTTGACATCCTGGTACTTGGTGAGTTCACGCTATTCGGTATCAAACCGCAGGGAGAGATTTTTCTGCAGAAGCGACTGGGTTTCCATCCGTCGGCTTTTGCCACTTTTCGACGATATGCATCTCCTACGGAGAGAGTATCACAGAGCTCAGCATCAATGGAGAACCTTCTCATTGCCAGTGATTCAAAACTCTGGAGTGTCTTCAAGGAGAAGACGCTCATTTGGTCTGCGTGTTCGTCAACCGTCCCGGTGGCATTGCAAGTCGCCGAATTCGGAGGCATCGACGGAATGATCGTGAGTCTGGACTCGGACGGAGCGCTAAGTGTCAACTACATGGGCACAGACCCGCCGTCTTCCGCTGTTGTCGCACCAGACACGAAGGAGATCAACTATGAAGAAATGGATGAAGAACATCGACAACTATTGAATGTCATACGCCGTGCACAGGGCGAACGGCGGACGGAGCCTAAAGACCGCGTGTTGATTCGAGCACAGGTACCAGCCATCCTGGACGCTCTACCGGATCGTAGCGATGAGTTCAATCGCAGTGGAGGCTCAACACAAGACGCTAATGGTAAGAATACGCAGCTAACAATGCGCGTGTATGTCACGTACACTGGATCAACGCGTGTCTCCAATGTGACGTTGTCGGTGTCAACACCCGAGAATGTCGTGGCTAGCGATTCCTCGTTCGTGATTGGGAGCATCGACGGCAAGGCGTCTACGCCTCTTATTATCCCGGTCGTGTTGCGTCCGAGTGCTGATGCCATGCCTACGTCACTCTCCGTTACAATCTCAGCGTCGTATACACTCGAGACAGGTCAGCCGCGAGTCTCGCAGTGTGTAGTCAAGCTCCCCATGTGCATGGCCTGCCGTCTCGTGCCTCCCGTCAAGTCCAGTACCTTCAAATTTACTCTGGAAACCAATCAAGAGCCTCTTGAACTCGCCAGTTTGTTTGAAGACATGCTACACCAGCCAAGTTGCACACCCGAGTGGGCGAAGCAGGTGGTGGCGGGTGGCTCCGGCACAAATGTACTGAGTTTCCAGTACTACAACGGCGTTGAGGCGACGATCCTTGTATCGAAGAACGCCGGACGCTATCGTATCCAGTCTAACGAGCTTGAGGCGCTCTGGATGGTATCACAAGAGCTGGTTGCTCGCCTTCGTGCATTCTTTGACGGACGAGAGCAGCATGCAGAGGCCAAGGGCAGCGACAACGGTGCTTCTACGGCTCTCGAGGTGTTCTACCAGGAGCCACTACCGCTTGCAGATTTCTTCGGTGCTATTGATGCGCACTTCGCTCTGCGGAAGGAGAAGCTCGAGCTGGTAGCGCAGCTGAACGACCGAGCGCACCAGTTCCGCGTGATTCAGAAGCGTCTATTGGTGCGCTACAAGGACCGCAGCCCCGCCGCTGTCAACTTTCTGGACGTGCTGCTACACGGCACGTACGACCAACTCATTTCACTGTCGCACGCCATGGAGGCGGTGGAAGCCAAGCTGAACCGTGCGGCCAATCGGTTGGCGTGCTGTGTGTCGCTCATCCTGATGCTCATTAAGTTCCGGTTCCATCTCAGCGACGAAGACGCACGGCTCCTAGAGGCGTATCTTTCTCCTGTCGTGAACGAGACGGCTGACAGCGGCGCCGTGGAGCAAGGCTGGGAGGAGCGGACTGACTGCGCCATGACGGAATTGTTGCGTACTGTGCTGGCCAAGCAGCCTCAAAACAAGGACGGCACAGCAGCGGCGTCCGCTGTAGCGACGAGCGAGCTACAGATGCAGGAGGACACCAAGCGGCTCAAGAAACACATTACCATCGTGTGCGATCGCCTCGGTAAGGGTGCGAGTCTCGTCCCAGGCAATAACAGCAACACAGCAACCAGCAGTGCAGCACCAAGCGAGTCCAAAGGAGACTAGCGGCCGCAGCATCACAGGACGGCAAGCACAATATCAATCAATCAATCGACTTGAAAATTGTATTGGTGAAGTTGAAGTTGGGTGATTGCCAATCGTGACACCCATTGGCTCACAAAGCATCTGTAAATTATGTGATTGGCTGAAAGACAGGATAGAGTCCGAATAGAGACGGGGAAACGTAACGGCTGAGGAATGTTGACATGTGTCTTGAAAGCCTCCTATATCTGATACCCAACCCAGTCTCCTTGCAGCAGAGGGCGTGTGGGCAGAGGTACATGTATCCTCTGCTTCTGGTCTTTCGTCTCTGTAAAATGGGCGGCGCATTGAGCTCGTCTCTCTGTCCATCACTTTCGATTTTCCCCAGTGAGATACCAAGATGAAGGTGGCGCTGCAGTTGCTTGTGAGCTGTGCGGCTGTAGTGACGTCGACGGTGTCTGGCGCCCAGCACGAAGACGCGTTGATCAAGGAGCTGCCGGGTCTGACCCGGGAGCTGTCGTTCAAGCACTACGCCGGCCACCTGGAGCTCGAGGAGAAGGAGAAGCTCTTTTACTGGTACACCGAGAGCCAAAGCGACCCGGAGAACGATCCGATCGTGCTGTGGCTCAACGGCGGCCCCGGTTGCTCGTCGCTGGGCGGACTATTCACCGAGAACGGACCGTTCGTCGTACGCGACGACCTGAGCATCAAGGTGAACCGCTACTCGTGGAACCGCAAGGCCAACATGGTGTGGCTCGAATCCCCCGCCGGTGTGGGCTTCAGTGGCGACGTCCAAGGCCCCAACTACTACAACGACGACATCGTCGCGGCCAAGACCCGCGAGTTCCTCAGTCTCTTCTTCAAAAAGTTCAGCGAACTCAAGAACCGCGAGTTCTACATTACCGGCGAGAGCTACGCTGGAATGTACATCCCCTATCTGGTGGACCGATTGGTGGAGGAGCCGATCGAAGGCGTCAACCTCAAAGGTTTTGCCATTGGCAATCCGTTCACCGACAATATCATTGATGGCAATGCCTACATTGACTACTACTACTCGCACGCAATGGTGTCGCTGGAAGCCTATGAGAAGATAAAGGTGCAGTGCGGTGCGCACATCGGCTGCCTCTTCGACGACACGCCGTGTCCCTCTGGTTGTGAGGCGTTGCTGGAGGAGGCCGAGGTTGGAGCCGGTGGACTGGACCCCTACTTCATTTACGGTGACATCTGCCTAATGGACAATTCGCAGGCCAAGGCTCTGCGTAAGAGAGCAAAGCCGTCCGTACAGATCTCACCCACGCACCGTGGTGACATTGGCGCTTGCGCTGATACCCTCACCCACATCTACCTGAACCTTCCAGAAGTGCAACGTGCCATCCACGTGACTAAAAGTACGGGTGGTAAGCATGTTCTGTGGAAGGGATGCAGTGACCCCGTTGGTGATCTGTACACGTCTAGTCCGTCGTCTTTGCCTAAGTACCACAACATCCTTGGCCGCAACCTTAAGGCTCTTATCTACAGTGGTGATGCTGACTCGGTCGTGAACTTCATCGGCACTGAGCGCTGGCTCGGTGGTCAGGGGCTCAAGCTGCAGATCACGCAGAAGTGGCGCGCGTGGTTCGGCCCCGACCAGCAATTGGCTGGTTACGTGCAGAAGTATGAGGGCCTGACGTTCAAGACCGTCAAGGGTGCTGGTCACATGGTGCCTGCTGTGCGTCCGCTGCACGGTCTCAACCTCTTCGAGTGCTTCGTGTACGGTCAGGATGCCTGCAACAAGTTCGTGTACCCGGTGGACGACAACGAGATCGAGGCTGGTATGACGGTCGTTCAGCAGGCAGCGCATGCGAAGATGGACTCTGAAAGCGCTCTCAAGACCGCAAACGGCAACGTCATTTCGGTGGGGTCTGGCTCGTCGGCGATCTGGCTGATCTTGCCAGTCGTGTGTGGTGTGCTTGTGGCGGCCGCGGCCGTTGGCATCCGCAACGGTAAGAAGCGTGCGCGCTATCAGCGTCTGTACTCGAGCGGCTACCAGACCGTGGTTTAAAAGTAGATAGAGCTATAGATATGGCGAGTTGGAGGGCAGGAGGAGTATCTGTATTTGTCATTTTGAGAAAGGTACTTGTAGCTAAGCAAGGACATTGAAGAAAGATATGCGTTTTCACTGGAAACTTTTCAGCTGGAAAAGGAAAGAAAGGTGTTTCTTGCGAGTATGTAGTACCTAGTAGAGAAGGCTTGGAGAACTCATCCAGATGCCAGATGAGTGTACTTGTCGCCATCCAAGTTGTCGGACAGCACGTTACATGCTTGCCAATCAATTCCATCCTGTGGCAAACGTGGCAACCGAGAAGACGGACGACACACGCCCCTTCATGTCCTAATTGTATTCTATATTTTCATCCACTAAGTGGATCCGCCCAACCGTCATAATCACCCCCTCCACGACATATTTCGCGCCGTGCGTTGCAGTGGAGACCGCATTCTTCTCACTCTTCATCTTGTCACGCCACTCGCTGACCTCACGCCTTACCAAATGAGGCTTTTCGTTGCGCTTGCAGCGCTGGGCACCATGCTCTTCGCTTCCCCCACAGTGGCGTACGACGCCCATCGCGTTGGAGATCTTCCCGGGCTCAAGCAGGAAGACGTCCCGTTCTCACATTTTGCCGGCCAACTACACTTGCCCACACCTACCAAGGAGAAGCTGTTCTACTGGTATGCAGAGTCGCGACGCTCTCCAGAAAGTGACCCCATTGTGCTCTGGCTGAACGGCGGCCCGGGCTGTGCGTCGTCCGAGGGTTTCTTCACTGAAAACGGCCCGTTCGTCGCCAAGCGCGACGGGACGGTGGGGCTCAACCCGTATGGGTGGAACGCCCGTGCCAACATTGTGTGGGTGGACTCGCCCTCAGGAGTCGGCTTCAGCCAGCCCCTGCAGGCTGCCGCTGACTATTATAACGATGACGTCGTGGCGGACCGGCTTCGGCTGTTCCTCCGCGAGTTCTTCAATAAATACCCGGAGCTCCAGGGTCGTGAATTCTACGTGACCGGCGAGAGCTATGCCGGCATGTACATTCCGTACTTGGTGGAGCGTCTGGTGGACGATCCGCTGGAAGGTGTAAACCTCAAAGGCTTTGCTATCGGCAACCCACTCACGGACATGGAGATCGACGGCAACGCGTACATGGACTACTACTATTCACACGCCCTCATTTCGCGCGGAGATTACTTTACGCTCCTCGACTACTGCAACCACGATGTAGCGCAGTGCATGTTCACGGATGTCAACTGCACTTCGCGCTGTGAAGAGGCTGTGTTGAAAGCTCATGAGGCTGCGGACACGGGAGAGTTTAACCACTATTACATCTACGGCGACGTGTGTCACATGAAGAACAAACAACGTAGTGCTCTGCACTCACATCTGCTTGACAAGGTGGGCCCGAAGATCCAGACTTACCGCGGAGTTGTGGGGCCGTGCGCCGGTGACTTCACCGAGACTCTACTGAACAGACTGGACGTGCAGGAAGCGTTGCATATTGAAGGCAAACTACCCATGAAGTGGGTGGACTGCCAGCCGTACATCTCGCACAACTTCGACCGTACATTCTCGTCATTGGACAAGTACCGGAAGCTACTTGGCAACGACCTGAAGGTCCTCATTTATAGTGGCGACGCCGATTCGGTTGTCAACTTCATCGGCACTCAGCGCTGGATTACGGAGGATGACGGTCTTGCACTGAAGCCTGCGTCGCCGTGGCGTGCATGGCTTGGTCCGGATGACCAGATCGCCGGTTACCACCAGCGGTTCGAGCTCGGCCTTACGTTTAAGACCGTCAAGGGTGCCGGTCACATGGTTCCCGCTGTGCGTCCGCTCCACGGTCTTCACCTCTTCGACTGCTTCATCTTCGGCGACGACAAGTGCACCGCAATTTCGTACCCGACTGATCCGTTCGAGCGTGACGCCGCTGGAGGTAAATTTGAATCTGCCAGCAAGAAGGAAGATGAAGATGAACGCCGCGATGCCACTCTGGCACTGCAAACCCGCGCGACCGTCTCGCAATCCAATGCAACGGCAGAGACGGCATCAGGCGCCACCGTGTCCCTCTTCGTCGGCTGTGCATTCCTCATCCTGGCGGCAACGGTCTACGCGCGCCGTCGCCGTCGACAGAATGGACTCCGTCGTCAGCAGTATAACCCCATTTAGACTTGAGAAGTGGTTCAAACTATGTTGACAATGAAGACATATAAAAGCGATTCTAGCTTATAGCTATCAGTGTTGAGCTGTCTGATGGTTTTACAGGGCTCCAACGTTGTCAACCATGCAGCCGTCCTGGGCACGTCTGTCATTGGTAGAAACGTTCGGCTCCTGTGCCATTCGATCGTTCCGGGCATGGGCAGCACAAGCAGTAGGCCTCCGGTGCCCCACATTTGGCATGCCTCGCAGATTCCGTCGCAGGAGGGCAAACTGGCTGTGATAACGGGAGGCAACTCAGGCATCGGCTACGAGACCGCTCTGCAACTCGCTCGCAATGGAGCTCATGTAATCCTAGCCTGTCGCAATGCGGAGCGAGGCCGTGAAGCGGAGACCAAGATACGGGAGACTTTAGCATCGAATCCCAAGGCTGGGGCCGTAGAGTTCATGCAGGTGGACACAAGTGACTTGACCAGCGTGAAGCAGTTCGCACAAGAGTTCAAAAAGACCCACGACCGACTGGATCTGCTCATTAACAACGCCGGAATCATGGGTGGCACGTACACCAAGACGGTGGACGGCTATGAGAGGCAGTTCGCAACGAACCACTTGGGGCACTTCGCCCTGACCGCGCACTTGTTCGACCTGATGAAGGAGAGCACGTCTGCTCGCATAGTTAACGTGAGTAGTATGACGCATCGTAACGCGGTTTGGACGTTTGATGAGGACGAGATCATGGTGACGACTGAGCGCAAGTACAGTCAGTGGCTTAACTACGCCAACACGAAGCTGTGCAACATCCTCTTCACCTTTGAGTTGGACAGACGCATGAAAGGCGCCGGTGTGGAGGGGATAGCTGCTGTTGCGTGCCATCCTGGCACCACGTCGACGAACCTACTGACGGCGCCGTCCACGTCCAACAGCAATTGGATGTGGACGACTACGTTTATGCTGTGGACTCTGATGCCGCGTCAAACTATCGAGATGGGTGCTTTACCTACGCTGTACGCTGCTACGGGGAGCGAAGTCGAAGGCGGAGATTTCTTCGGCCCCAAAGGATTAAACGCCATGTTCGGATATCCAGCACGCGAGGCGCCGTCCAAGTTGAGTCAGTCACCGGCTGCAGCAACCAAGCTCTGGGCATTAAGCGAGAGGCTCGCACATTTGTCCTTTGACATCGAAAAGTAGGTGTATACGCTCCAAACGCAGCTATGAATAATGAACTGCTGCCATGTAACAGCTCTGTCAACAGTTCACTGAAGGGACGGACATTGATCCGCTTGACTAGTCGGCGGTGCCCGTTGACGCCGAATCCTTCGGTGTTGGATCCACTGCACTGCAGTTCATACAGGTTCTGCTATGGTACTCGGTGCGGTGGTCCGCTATGCGGCGCTAGTATCACTTGCAATATGGGGCGCGTATGCAGCGACTTCATCACTGGACACAATCCAGCTCGAGATGTCGAATACCATGGCTCGTAGTCAAGCGATCGACGCATTGCACGGGCGGTATCGGTATCACCGATCAATAGATGAAGAGCTCCAGGCGGTACAGACCTTGAGTGACGAAGATCCACCTGATGGGGAAGCTGCACGCAATCAAGCGACTGTGGAAATGGGACTTCGCTCTGGTGCTGGATCGCACACGATTCAAGTGACGGTCGGCGGGCAGCAGCGTGAATTAATCATCGACACAGGTAGCGGCAAGACGGCTTTTGTATGTGTAGGCTGCAACAACTGCGGCAACAAACGGAAGCACCAGCCGTTTGTCTTCACGGTCAACACGACGTATTTAAGCTGTGATCGATCCATGATCGCTATGTCGAACAGGGGCGAACCGCCGTGTGTAGACTGTGAGAATGGCAGGTGTAAATACGGCCAGACGTACGTTGAAGGAGACCACTGGACGGCATACAAGGCGTCCGATATGATGCAGTTATCGTCGTCATTCGAGGCACGCGTCGAGTTCGGCTGCATCTACGAGCAGTCGGGAGTGTTCCTCGATCAGCCGTCGGACGGCATCATGGGCTTCTCGCGACACCCGGACTCTATCTACGAGCAGTTCTATCGACAGAAGGTGACACGTTCTCGTATCTTCTCGCAGTGTCTGGCCGAAGGTGGCGGTTTGCTCACGATCGGCGGGGTAGATCTGGCTCGCCACACGGAACCGGTACGGTACACTCCTCTACGCAACACTGGGTACCAGTACTGGACAGTGACGCTGCTCTCAGTGTCTATTGGCAACGCGAACAACACTATGCAGGTGGATAAGAAGGAATTCAATGCCGACCGCGGGTGCGTACTGGACAGCGGGACGACCTTCTTGTACATGCCTGAGAGCACCAAGCAACCATTCCGACTCGCTTGGAGTCGAGCGGTGGGAAGCTTCTCGTTCGTGCCTGAAAGCGACACGTTCTACTTCATGACGTCCGAACAGGTCGCTGCGCTGCCGGATGTTTGCTTCTGGTTCAAGAACGACGTGCACATTTGTCTACCGTCGACTCGCTATTTTGCACAAGTCGGGAACGGGATCTACACGGGCACAATCTTCTTCACTGCTGGACCAAAGGCTACGATACTGGGGGCGAGCGTTTTGGAAGGACACGACGTCATCTATGACGTTGATAACCACCGCGTAGGAATCGCCGAAGCGATGTGTGACCAGCCACTGCAGGCGCAGGTGGAGCTCAGTCTCGATCCTGGCGGTGACAAGTTCAAGCCAGGCTTCGACTACTCGCAGGCGCCTCAGTGGATGCTAGCGTGCATCACTCTGCTAGCTGTGGCTGGTCTTATCAACACGATCTGGGCTGCTGCTGCAATCGAGGGAGATTCTACAGCAGACATAGATAAAAACACTAAGCCACCGACTGTAAGGATCAGTAATGACTGGCAGGATGAGGAGTTCTCTTTCTTCCTCATGGAGGAAAACGCGCCTAAGTAACTAGAGCCATCGACAGTTAAACGGTTAAAGCACACAATACATTTTCCAGGAGGTTATTGCTCCTCCTATCGGGTTTCGAAGGATCTAAAGTAGAGTTACATCTCTATCCAAGTGCGACGTCCATGACCATCATGACGACGAAGCCCACGATGGTGCCGAAAGTCGCAAGCTTCTGGTTGCCGCTCTGTGTTGTCTCCGGCACCAAATCGTCCACCACGACAAAGATCATGGCACCCGCCGCAAACGACAGCGCGTACGGCAGAATCGGCTGCACGTACAGAACAGCTCCAGCTCCAATCAACTGCATATCCACATACAAAAGTCACAGACGTAAGTGTGTTTTAACCTATCTAAATTCCCCTTTACCATCAGCTTACCCCTCCAATTGGCTCCACGAGTCCACTCGCTTGTCCCCACATGAACGCCTTAAACGCCGACGTGCCTTCCCTTCTCAAAGGCATCGACACTGCCAGTCCCTCGGGAAAGTTCTGCAGCCCAATGCCAATGGCCAGATTCACGGCATTGGCGAAGCTAGCACTGCTGCTGTGACCCACACTACCAAAACCCACTCCAACCGCCATTCCTTCCGGCAGATTGTGCAGCGTAATGGCAATAACTAGCAATAAAACCCGACGGAAGCTGCTGGTACTGGCCGTTGTAGGTTTGTCGTAGCTCTCGTGCTCCTCTTTCTCCCCTTTGTAGTCGTCGTCTTTCTTCTTCTTCTTCAGATCGGCGTCCTTGCTTCCCATTGAGTGCGGAGATACACCCAGGTATTTCTCCAAAAGAGGCAACACTCTCTCAGTGCCAAAGAGCGTGAGCGCTCCGAGCATGAAGCCCACAGCGGCAGGCACGAAAGACCAGCGACCGTCGGGGCCATAGAGCTCTGACTCCTCTGCGATCTCGATGGAGGGAGCCAATAGTGACCAATAAGAGGCGGCCAGCATCACGCCACCTGCGAAACCCAGCATACCGTCCAGGATCTTCTGGCTCGTGTGTTTGTCCTCGACGTCCAACACGAACACCATGGCCGAGCCTAGAGCGGTAAAGCCCCATGTGACGAGTGTACCAAGCAGGGCCTGGACGACGGGGTGTTGACCTTCGATCATGGCGGACGCCCAGACAGTGTGCGCAGAATCTTGCGTAAAAATGACGTACTTCGATAAATATGATTGGTTGAAATTGGGATTTGATAATTTAAATTCTAACGTCAAAATACGCCCGTATAATTGAAGTTCCTTTTATTACATGTAACGTTATATTCAGAAACCGACAGAGATTATTCAGTTTATTACCTGTACTGATTTATACTTGCACTATAAATCAGTACATGCATAATCATGCTAGTTGCTTCACTACTGGCGTTGGGTTTGCCAACAATCGCTTTGATTATTCTTCATTATTGAGGTTTTCTGTTGAGCCGAAAAGTCCAGCTTGAAACGATGCGTTTCAACTGTGGGGCATTCTACGAGGTACTGAGGTACTAAGAGATCGTTGTAGTACTTCTGCAGCCGCTCCAAGCATAACAATGTACGCTTAGAAATAATCCAGTCACTTCTAGTGTTCACTGAAATCATTGTGGGCGTCCAGTAGTCAAAGACCGGAGACCACCGCTACTAACCCGCCTATGTGGTAAATGTATGTGGTTAACTATCTAACATAGTAAAACCCAATCAAATGCATATCCTGTGGATTCTGATGTCCCTGGCTCGAGAGAATAGGAAAAGCAAACTACGAAACAATCTATTCTCAAGATGGCGCATGCTACAACGAAGGACGGCTACGGCAATGGGCAGATACGAAAGCACATGAAAGTGAAGGCTTTTGTTCCAGAAAACAGCTTGGTGGTTGGGTTGAAAAGAGGAGAAGAGCGGTAATGTGGAGCAATCGCAATGTCAGTACGATGAAGGCTAAGAAGCTGGTGTTTGAAACAGGTGGCCCTTCTCTATATATAGGGCTACCAGTGGGTTGGTGTCGCGGTTGCTGACGAGGCACGAGTTACGCTGTCGAACAAAACACGGAGAGGCCGACTCAGCTGAGCATGATACCGCGCCCAATTAGTGTCACGAGCTCCAAGAGATAACCAACTTGTATGACACTAAAGACATATGCAATATGAACGAGACGGAGATGAACTGCAAGGCGGCCCCAACTGGCCGTATATGTTCCTCACGGTTGCCGGGGTCCAAGAAGAATAAGACACGTATTGCGCTTGCCTGACTACTAATGTAGATGGCAGTGGCTCCTTGCCGATGCTATTTGTAAGTAGCATTTTTTTTTTAAAAAAAAAAGGCACTTTGGCAAGGAGACTACACCTTTTAACCTTCAAAATGGCAAAAAGGAAATTCAATGCTGCAAAATGTAAAATCAAAACTGCAATCACGCTAAAACGAATAATTTGAAGCCAATCGAATTTGACAGAAAATAAAGTTTTGCATTACTTTCGAGATACTAATAAATTGCGCTGGAGTTCCGAAAGGCGGGACCGGTTCGCGCCAAAAGCAGTGGACAGTAGCAAGCAGTGGACAGTAGCGCGAGCGATGCTATGCATCGATCACTTCTTAATCTACTTTCTACCCCCAACAACATTCTCAAGATGCTCTACGACGACGCCACTGTGCTCCGGATCATTCGTGCTGCTCGTGATGAGCTAAACTGGCGTGAGATTGCCACCACCAACGGCGTCAAGCTGCGCACAGCCTATAGCTGGGTCGCTGCGGCACATGCAGCAGAAGATTGGGAGAACCCTCCACGGCTACTCCGCGGCGGACGCCGCAACACCAAGATCCAAGATGTCCACATCGACTATCTCCTGGGTCTCTTAGATGATAATTGTTACCTTACGCTAGTCGAAATGGTCGATGCGCTCGAGGCGCGTTTCGGTGTTCGAGTGACTCATCAGACTGTGAAGCGCCACGTGGATGCGCGTATGTACACCATGAAACAAACTCACCGAGACAATAACTACCGGAACCTTCCACACAACAAGCAACTTCGACAAGACTACGCCATTAAACTTCTGAGCTACAAGTCACAAGGTAAGAAGATATTTTATGTAGACGAAACTAACTTTAATTTGTGGTGTTCACGTCGACGAGGGCGAAGCCTGAAAGGAAAGCGCGCAGTCGATCGCAACACTGCAAGTAAGGGGTCCAATATCCACGTTATCGCCTGCATATCAGATGATGGAATAGCGTACGTGGAAAAACGTTTCGGGTCCTTCACAGCGGACCGCTGTAACGACTTTATTCGTCGTCTTCTGACACACGTTGAGCAGTCTACTCCTCTCGAAGACGTGGTGCTTGTGGCCGATAACGCCCCGTGTCACGCTCGAATAGAAGCGGTCTTCAAAGACAGGTTCTCCTCAGCAACGTTACTGAGGTTGGGTCCATATTCACCCATGTTAAACCCCATAGAGAACTGTTTTTCGGTGTTCAAGTCAATGGTGAAGCGGTTTCTAGCACGCCACCGCCAAGCGATCCTACAAGTGCCTCCTCATCGTACCATCAAAGAGCACCG